AAGTAGATGTTTGTTTGACTTCTGCTTCATGGTAGTGTTTCTTCTTTGGTTAGCCAGAGGTCAGATATGCCCATGCAGTTTATTGGGTTGTTTTCTGAAAAGAATATGGGAAGTTTAAGTCTTGATTCTTTTGTTTGGTAGTAGTCTTTGGTTATTCCTATTTGAAATGGCAAAAATGAATGTTCTTAATATATATTTTGAGCTCAGGGATATAATTTGTCCCTTGAATTCCTGAGACCATGCTGGCTAGATAAAGTGGGTGACAGAAGGCCTGGCCCTGACTTGAGGCAATGCTCTCAGAGACCTAATCCCATATTTTTGTTTCAATAGAATAGTTTAGATAGGGATTAAGATAATATAAATAAGGATTGAACTTGACTGTTTTAAGAATTGAGTATTGTATCTGATTTTACTTTGTTTATACTGATTTTTTTATTCTTATTGTTGATATAAGAATTTATAGAAATGATTTTGGGAAGTACGAAAAAAGAGAGCGTTCCGCCTACTTGCCTTGTGCCACTAATTTGTATGTTAGATGGGTTTATGACAGGCCTCCAAAGATGGCTCTGAAAGGATAAGCCCCAACCAGTGCTTTGGAGTACTCAGGATATTTGTATTCCAAGAGCTCTGCCTAAGGCCTGTTGACAGATTGAAGAAAAAAAAAGGAACTCTTTGGATATTTGAATTTTGAACTAGTGGTTTTTGTCAGAAGCTGTAAAAAATCTGGAACCATGAAGAAAACACCTCTTTAGGACTGAACATTAAAGGGAGTCTGTGGGCAGGCTAAAATGCTTGCTAGGTGACTAACTGGATACACTTGTTGAGTGGAAGTGGGTGAAATGCAGCAATAAAGGGACAGGTTAAGTTTGGCCACTGACACCCATGGATCTAGTTTACAAGGAACTAGAGGAGAAGATGAGAGTGGGTTGACTGGTCTGAAGTTCATGACCTAGCACAGGGGGCTAAGCAGGCTTGTTGAGAATTTGTGATGGGGACATGGTCTAAAGGCAAGGTGACCAGTGGGCACCCTGGTAAGGCTAAGTGAGGCAGCCCACATTAAGTTGACCAGAACCCGACCAGATGAAGAGAAGATTTTTGAGCCTGTGAACTGGTGCATTTTTCTAATGACTTTATGAATGGCCTGTCCTGATTTGACTTTGCTTATGGATGCAGACTTCACAAGGTTCCAACTGGAATGAAGACTTCATGTCAAAGTAGATGATTATCTTCTCAGAGCACTGGGTTGATGTAAGTGGGCAGTATAGAAATTGGATACCCAAAATGGGGCAGATAAAGGCATCAAGTGGTTGGATTACAAACTTTCATAGATGAGGGAATATATTCATACTATTATAGAATTAAGGTGTAGGTATTACTTAACAGCAATTGTGGGGCATAGGATATTTTTGTTTTGTTCACTTATAAAATGTTATGTTCAAATGAGGGTGGCACATATTGAATTGTATGCATTTTAGTTTTATCCTGCTAGGTACAGATATGATTTTATTATTGTTTGAAAATTATATATGGCTAAAGAGTTATGTGAAAGTGTAAAATTGACAAGGGCTGGTCTGTGGTAGTTACATAATCTGGTGTCAATTTGAGGATTAAGAGTGTAGGGGTGGAGTCTAGACTGTCAATTGGAATATAGCCAATGAGACCTCTGTGTGGGCATGGTCTTCTCCTGAGGATTCTGGGAACTCCTGTATTTCCTCCTTGGAAGTGGGAAATACTCTTTCACTTAGCTCACTCCCTGGGAGACATCCCTGTGGAAAAGACACATGGAGAGAAGCTGATGGAGCTAGACCTCTGGAGCCAGAGGAATCATGTGGATAGACCTGCCAGCATTGAGATGCTTACAATGCTACTGGATCCAGAAGGACTTCCTACCCACTGGCCTGTGATATCCCTGCATGCAGTAGCATTGCATGTGTTTTGTAAGTCTGAAGAGGACTTTATAGATAGGTATCGAACATATGGGCTAATATCATACTTATGGACTTGATCTGGACTGAGCTGGGATGTTTTGATGCCTGATACCGGATCGCATCGACACCTCAGGATCACACAAGCTGGTATGCTTCTTCCATGTGGGCTTGGTTGCTTCTGAGCTAGATGGCTGCTTGTTTATCTTCAAGCCTTTAAGACTCCAGATGCTGTATCATTTGGTAGTTGGGCACCATCCGCTTTCTTCACCACATTTTCTTATGCACCCATTTTGTCTTCAGCGATGGTGTCAGGAAGGTGAGCATCACTGAGTGCCAGGTTATTAGAACAAAGTGTTCTTGCATTGAGGGAGTTCTTGAGTAGAGGCCCAATGTCTGTCTTCTACCTTAATACTTAACATATAAGTATATGTACATAGATCTATTTCCCTATCATTACATATAAATATATTTACATACGTACATGCTTGTATTTAGACCTCTGTAAATGTCCTTTGTCTCCTATTCTTTCCTCTATTTCCTTTTACTTTCCTCTCATCCCACTGTCATGTTCTACCTTCAGTAGGCTTTCAGTAATTTCTCTCAGCTAATTGCACTTGATCAAGCCCCACCAGGCATCCCACACCCTCTTGGCCATCGGTTTTAGATCACTTGTTGTTCTCTGGGTTTGTTGGCACCCCTGAAGCTTTCTCCTGCCTTCCCCTCTCCAGTGTCCCCCCCAGAACCATTGGCCCCATTGTTTTCTCCTCCCCATTGTTAATCCTGCTCTAGCCTCTCTTGTGGCTTGTGTGTGCCAGAACAGGACTGTGATCCATCAGGTTGATTATGAGTAAGAAATTCTCTAGGCTTTTGAGGTACCTTTATGTTAGTCTAATTTATGAACAGCTTGCACCACTCAGGGGCTTTCCCTGTGAACCCACCCAAACCAAATTCACTGTCATTGAGTGGATTCCAACTCATAGTTATCCTATGTAGAGTTTCGGAGACTGAAAATCTCTATGGGAGCAGATAGCCTTACCATTCACCCTTGGAGTGAGTGGTGGATTTGTAGCCCAACCTTGTGGTTAGCAGCCCAACCCTCACCTGACAGCACTACCAGAGCTCCTGTAAATCTGGAGTGGGCTTAAACATCAACTGTGTCTGATAGCAAATGAAAGTCAGTGTTGTGGAAGACAGAGCAGAGAAATGGAAAGAGATCCCATCCCGATGAGCACCAACAAAAAGCCAAACTCACTGCTGTCGAGTTTTTACTGACTCATTGTGACCCTGTAGGACAGGGAAGAACTGTCGTTGTAAGTTTCTGAGACTGTCATTCTTTACAGGAGTAGAAAACACAGTCTTTCTTCTGAGGCGTGTCCAGTGGTTTCGAACTGCTGATCTCAGCCAAACTCATAACCACTATGTCACCAGGGCATGATTCAGGCTATGGTTTTCATTAAAAATGGCCATTACCTTCCCAGTTTTGGAAGTCAGTTTGGAATACATTTTTCTGATATTTTCAACCTAAAAAAAAAACTTCAACAATATACAACATTTCTATTAGTCTGTGAAGGAGTTCTGGTGCCTCTGTCCTGTAAGCTACCTGCAAGGTCAGTGGTTCAAATTCACCAGCTGCTCCAAATGGAGAAAGATAAGGTAAGAAGTTTCTGTACGGACTTGCAGCCTTTGAAACCCTAGACAGGTTTGCTGTGAGTCAGAATCTATTTCATGGTAGCGGGGATTAGATACAGGAGCCATCTTATGTATCTCTATATCACCAATATTACAACATCTTGCTCAACAAAAATGCTCAGTAATTTTGTTGAATTGATCAATTACTGAGATAATTCCAGACTTTCTCTCATTCTCTCTCTCTGCTTTCCTTGGCCCCATTTTACCTGAGTGTAGTCTGTGTATGGCAGAGGGACATGAAGGAAGCCAATAGTCACTGCCTGGGCATTGTATCTGAGCTACAAGAACTTATACATTGTATCTGTATAAGCTAGCAAAACCCCAGGACTTCTAGGAC